GTTACAACCCCAAAGTCTTCAATTACTAATCAAGGTAATTTTCGTGAACTATTAATGTATAGAATATATATTATCTAGCAATAGTGTGCTTAAAGACCATTTAAAATCACTAAATTCTAAAGTAACTTATATTAGCCCACTAATTCAAAATGATTTAATTACATGCTGTACACATTTTATTATGAATAAAATTATTAACGAAGTTAAAAAAAAAAATAAATAATAAAAAATAATTTTTTATGAGACCGTAAATATCAATATTAATTGTATAACAGATAACAAAAATTCGCCCCTGCATAACCCCTGGATCCACTACTGATTTGTACTTAGTGGTCAAAGAATAAAAAAGTAGAGTATGCCTTCCTAATATCATGTGTGCAGTAATTTTTTTTTATATATATAATCGATTTAAGAACAAATTTTGATGAAAATCATAAATATAATATGACCTTTCAAATCATGTATATGAACGAATTTCGATCAATATTGTTTTCATTAAAAATGGCTTATCACTGTAAGCAATAATAAACTGAATAACTTTATGCGTCTTATCTTCTCATCTTCATAAATATACATTTAAATTTTAAAGCATTTTATTTATTTTTTGTTTGTCAAAAGTTTAGTTTTATTTTTGATTAATTGTGTAAAATAAAAATAGAATTGTTTAGTTCACTGCAGGAATTAACACAACTGGACGCTTAATATTGTAAGGTATTCTTATAATTTAATGATCAAAATAATGTATTTGGTTTACTAAATAGAAATGGAGACGTTTTTTGTACATTAGTATAACAAACATGAACAAATTTGCCGTGTTCTTCGCAATTTTTGTATTTTAAATAATAGTTATCTTGAGGTGGAGACTGGTGATTGAAAATATACATAAAGTAATGTGAATACAAACCAAGAACATAATATAAATAGTTTATAAATAGAATGCAAAGTATATTCATCTTTTTTCACTTATAATTATAAAATATCATACTCTGAATCTTCGTACTATTTAAATGACTTTAGAAACCTATTAGCTATTCAAGCAATTCATTTTCCTAAGTATAGGTACTTATTATTATTATTTAGCAGCTATGATTATCACTTTTACCAAGAATTGTGAAGAAAAGAAAGGCAAAAAATGTAAGGTTGAATGAATATAAATATAAAACGAAATAGCATTTGTCTCATTATTAGTATATAGTCAGCCTTACAGACAGTGTTTATGCCATACCTTCTATCCCGGAAGGGAAGGATATTATAAATTTTTAAGGGATTACAGTAAAATAAGAGTAAATAACAGAGTGAAGTAAACATAAATCTAAATTGCATACAAATTTATTTTTGTATTTTCATTCACATAAGAAGTGACTAATGAGTAATGGCCTTAATACAACCTAAAATTATTCAAAAGTCATTTACATTGATATTAGATATATATTTAATTTAGATATTTACGAATACATAGGTACATTCGTTAAAAAAGTAATAATAACAATAATTTTAGTAAATGATTTATATTAAAAAAAAAAATCCTATTAAAATTTGGTAATACTATTAATAATTATACTGCATAAATTATATATTATTATTTATAATTAGGTTAATTAATATTATAGTTATTATTTAATCAGTAAAATAAACTAAATTAAACGAATGCGGCGCTAATTTTTCATGTGAAGGGGGTAATACCCCAGTCACCCTCTTGAAATAACAACTGCTTACAGATATTGATGATGGCTGTTGACTAAAAATTAAAGGAAAAGCTCCTATAAGGTTATAAAAAAAATTATTAATTTATCATTTTTATTCACATATTGTATTCATAACTCTATTCACTCATAACTCATAATCACTGTTTATACAAATGTATAAATAGTGATATACACCTTACTTGTGTTATAACTTATATTTTGTATCATATGACCGCAAACGTAGTGATCGCGTAGGTCCCAACACCATATAAAGGACCACTGCGGTGCCCACCGGTTCTTCATAACATGACCGCATGACCATATGTTATCGTATAGGTTAATCTTAGACGCTCTCATATGTGTGCCACTTTTTATAATTTTGTGGAGGATACCTGATACATATATCTACCACTCTAAATAAAATATAAATCCTGATTGTAAGTTAAGTGTTAACCGACAAAAAAATAATAATATGAATAGATTTAACGATAAGCTTACTCGATTTATTTCAGAGATTTCCGAAATATGCACACAGCAATGTAAAATAGGGCCTACCCATATACCCATAACGACCATATAACTTTACTCTGTAGCATAAAGTTAAAGTTGTAATTGCAGGCAGTTTCAGAACAAACATTTAAAACATTCATATTAAAATACTGTAAATGCATGAAATACCTACCGTTACGGAAAATCAGTTTGGGAAATAAGGAAACTCTGAAAAGAATGTACCGTAATAACTAACGGCTTTTCGGGTACCAAGCCAAAATTGTAGGCCGTTTTCATCATATACCTATACCTGCTGGTCCATTTCCAAGTTCCTCGTCTATATAAGTAGACATTAGTATATACGAAATAAATAATACTTCAATATCAGTAGTGTTATTATCAGTTGTTTTTCATTTATAACTATCACGAATTTTCCGTCAAATTTAGGCGAAACTACCTAGTGGTGATTGCAATAACCTCCATATGATTGTAAAAACAAAATTTGTTAAACATATACACGGTATTTTTAAAAGTTTTAGATAAAATGAATATTAAATTGACGCGTTTTTCTCATATATAATAGATAAAACCACTGTTCAATAAATGTGAAAATGATAAAATATTATTGTATATTCGATTTACCGTCAAGTATACGTAAAACAAGTTTTATTTAAGATTTTATAATTATAAGGGTATAAATTATAAACCTCGATAAAATAAAAATGATTTATTACCTTGGGAGCGATTTTTTTTTTCTTTTAACCATGAACTAGTCAATATTACCAGTTTTTGATTATAAATTATTTATAATACGTTTAATATAGTTTTATAGCACGTATATTTTTTGTATTTCTGTATTTTTGACGAAGGGTTACAACGTGTTCAATATTATATTATAATTATTATTATTAATAAAAGTAAAATTAAATGTTTTTATAATAATTCGTACATACAAATTTCGATCGTATAAACAAATTATAATATTATAAGCAGAGCTTGGACTTTTAGCGCATAAAACCGACAAAAAAAAAAAAACAAAAACTAATAATTAGTTCGCAAAATTAAAATGCCAACATTTCAAGTTTCTACAAATATTTTTAATTGGATCACATTAAAGAAACAAAATTTAAAATAGCAAAATAATTATTTTCGTAAATTTGTTCGTACTTCAAACGTATTTTTCGGTTTTCCATAACTATTAAAAAACTATGAAAAAAAAAAATCAAAACACTACTCACTTGGTCACTAATTAGATGAAAAATTCAACAAAAAAGATCTCTTGTTTATCTATCAAAGCAACCTTTTTGGCAGAATACGGAGAGTAAAAATTTAAAATAATGAAATCGTAATGCCGTAAATTTGTTAGTTATTATTTTACATTTTCTTCCGGTTTTTCCCAATTAACGTTGCCATAAATATTGATAAATTTGAATTTATTGGTTTTTCCCAATTATTAGCAAAACTACTTTAGATATCAAAAGACTACTTTCTTTGTCAGTGGCTATATACTAAAAGGAACAAAATTGTGTGTTTGTCATATTTTAATTGGAGCGAGATTGCCGGTACATCGTGAGCAAAAATTGAAAACACGAAAACGGTAACGCCGCGGTGTGCCGTAAATATTTGCCATTTTACCTATAATTTTCTTTCGGATTTTTCCTAATTATTTTGAAAACTCATTTGAAAATCAAAAAAAATTACCTCTCTAGTGCACCAACTAGTGAAAATTTCCGTTCGGAAAATGTACTATACTCTCCAAATCGGAACCAGATTTCTTTTCGAAAAGTTGTTTATAAGCAGAACAAAAAATACACATTGTTGGAAAAAGTAAAACCTCGCTACGCTCCGAATTTAAAGAATACTTTGTGTTCACAGTTTTTGTAGTGTCGGAAAATCGTATTTAATATGTCAGAACCGTTAGAGAGACTTGCATTTTTAAACGTCTTTTTTTTCTTTTTTTTTTTTTTCTAGATGGTTTTTTGACGTTAGTAAACGCTGTTTTTTGTGTATTCCGAGTATACTGAACGTCCCGAGCCCCGATTATAAGTATAGACCGCTTACGACACTCGAAATATGCCGGTAGATCATCGTCGTCGCTATACATATTATTACGACACGTCAGCCTATAAATAAAATATGTATTGGCGCGGACACAATAATATAATAATATTACGTGTACGTGTTGATTGTTTTTCGCGCGAGATGAATCTACTATTATTATTATTATTATTGTACCTGTAAGAATTGAAAAACAAAACAAAAAACACACACACACACATACGGCGATAACAATACAAACGTGCATTCGAACACTGTCTGCAGTATACCAAAATGATTGTGTACCTATATAATATTATGATATTGTAATCGGGCTTATACAATAATATCGTATAACACGTTCGCGTGTGTTCAGCACGCATGTGCGTATTACGTACAGTAATTATAGCGTACTATACTGTGCACTTGCACAATGTTTTAACATTTCTCAAGTTGTCACGTTATGACGTATCGATGCGCGATGGTCCCGCACCTAATAATACAATGCGAAATTTCCTTGACAAAAAAAAAAAAAAAAAAAAAA